AGCCCTCTGCCATGTGCCACTCTGCCTTGTAACCTGCCAAGTATGGACTAAAACCTCCACAAACTGTAAGCGAAATCAACCTTTCCTTCCTTAATTTTGGGCGTCAGGTATTTTGTCCCAGCAACGAGAGAAAAGTAACCAAGACAGTTTCCATTTCTGACTTCCTACATGTGTGTTGTGTGCCCTTGAACAGTGGCACAACAGTCAAAGAGTGGGTGCCCCTCTGAGCGAGAGACCATTCAGGTGCTTGCCTGGCTGTGCCCCTTGAGGGGACTTAGGCGTGACTTAGCTAAGGAGGATGTGAGACCTCCATTATGCCATATGTCAGTTGCCGTGGAACTGTAGGTGGGGCCCAGCCACCTCAACCAGTGCTTCCCAGTGTTGGTGCACAGACGGAGCAGCCTGTTGCTCACGCGGTCTGTTCCATTCGTGCACACATCTGTTCAGCAGGCACTCAGAGGTTAAACATCCCAGCCTGCTTCCCTTGAGGGTGGTCCTGGCTAAGGAGAGTTGAGCAGGACTGACAAACTGGGATGCCCCCAGGGGTCTTACCAGAATCAGGTGAGCAAGCAGGTGGACAGACTGCATCCTCCTTCCTTTTGGGTCTGATGTGAGCCACTCAGTGCAGAGCCAGGAATCCTCCTGCAGACCTCCAAGGGGAATCAAGAATCTCGAGGGTGTGTCTTCCTGTCAGCACCTGGAGAGGTCCTTGCACCATCAATAAGAGCCACTACCAGTGACCAAAGGGTTCAGTATGGTTGGCCTTCCCGGCCAACGCACCATATGCAACAGCAAGCAGAAACACTGAAACCACACCCAGGATTTGGAGACCAGTTTATTTTACAACAGGCACTGAACGGGATCATTCCCCAAATATCAGGCTCCAAGGCCCAGGGAGGGAAGTTTTTATGGAGTCCTCCTTAGCTAAGTCATGCCTATGGGAAGTAGAGGCAGAGTACTTGGCTGTCTGTGGTTGGTTCTTACAATATCAATCGTAGTGACCAGCTGTTTCTAAGAAACAAAAGTAACTGGAACTGTTACCTGGGCAACTAACAAAC